GATTAAATCAGAGTAATTAGTATACCCATCATCTTAACCATTTGTCATTATTTTATGCAACTCCAAATTCTCTTTTTTAACTTCTCTGAGATGTACAGTATATTGTCGTTAATTGTAGTCACCCTATTATCCTCTATAACACTAGAAATTGTCCCTCTTATATTTTTGTGATTTTATTACAATTATTAAGCAATGTACAGAAGATCCTAGCCCAGAGTTTATCAAGCTGGCTATGCCTTTTCCCTAAACAAGGAACCTTTAGAATTATAGGTTGCATTTTCTTATGTGATAATGACTAGGAACTGTTTCTGGCATGTTCTACTCTATTGGAAAAAAATCACATCATGTTAGCAGCAGATAATCACATTATCTAGGAAATTGTTTAATGAAAATATGTGTAAGGCATTTATGGAGAAATGAGAAATAGTTCTTTCTTTTTTTTAAAGAATTATTTGTTTATTTAGTTTATTCATTCATTTTTTTTTAATTTGACCAGACACACACACACACACACACACACACACACACACACACACAAGGAGAGAGAGAGAAGGAGAGAGAGAGAAAGTGAGAAAGCAAGCCACCAGGACTGGGACTCAAACCATGGTTGGCCATGTGAGAGTGTCCAGCGCCTTAACCACCGTGCCACCTGCTGGTCCTGAGGAATAGTTCTTTAGGCACATAAACACAGCTTTGATTTTAAAAAGAGAGAAACACTGTGTTTATGACTAGGAAAACTCATGCGTAAATAAACATGATTTTTTCCCCAAATAATTTATACCTTCAAGCAATTCTAATTGAGATCCCTACTCCCTGTATAACTGTGTGTGAGTTAGCATCTTTCTACTTCTCTTCCCAGAAATCATACAAAAGCAACAAGAACAACAAAACTCCCACAAACTCCATTTTCAGTAAAACTAGAATATATATAATCTGTGAACTACTGTTTGTAAGGACTGTGGAAAGCAGCCGAAATTAGGCAGAAGCAATGTGGGAGGAAGTGAGAAAGTATGGGTGTGGGAAAGGAACCATTGGGGACCTCAAAAAGCCTAAGTAAAAATATACTTCCTGAGGGTAAATTTGGAAATATCCAGAATTTAAAATGAGCATATTTTAGATCTAGCTGCTAGACTTCAGCATTTCCACTTCTAAGAATCCTGGAGAAAATCACGTATGAGCACAAGACAAATACAAGGATATTTGTTGCAACATTATGGGTAATTGAGAAATTAGAAGTAATCTAAATGACCATTTGAGAAGATAGCTTATATTGTAACAGAGCCCTATAGTGGAAGAAGGAAATTAGATTTCTATATATCAATATGGCTAGGCCCCCAAAATAAAGCTGAGTTAAAAAAAAAGCAAGTTGCAGAATGACACCTGTAGTACCATACTGTGTATATAAATATTAAATAAAAAAACAGTACTGTACTTTGTTTATATGTAGTTCATTTTGGGTTCATATTTGTTTTTAGTGGAGAGGGAATGTCTTAGTCTGTTTTACATTGCTATAACAGAATATCACAGGTTGGGGAATTCATATATTAAAAAAATCTATTTCTCACAGTTCTGGAGGTCATGGAATCCAATATGAAGATGCTGGCCTCTGGCAAGGTTCTTCTTGCTGCATTGCAACACAGTGGGAGGCTCACATGGCGGAGATCCTGAGAGAAGAGAGAAAAAGAGGGAGAGAGATGCAAGAGATGACCAAGCTCACTTTTCTAACAAATCCACTTCCACCATAATGACACTAATCCTCCATAACTTAATCACCTCTTAAATGCCGCACTCTCAACATAATCACCTCTTTAATGCCCCACTCTCAACATGGGTTCACTGGGGATTAAGTTTTCAATATATGGCAGTGGTTAAGCTCTGTGCATTTGGAGCTGGAGCCCACATGACTGACTGGTTCTAGAAACATACCAGGCGTGTCTGTCCTAAATCCTGATGGGATAGGGACATAGAGGAAAAAGGAGTGCAGTGCGACTATGACACATTGGAGGGTGCTTTCTCTCTCTCTCTCTCTGGTGAGTACACATGCCTTTGGACAATTAAACATTTTTTTCCCAACACAAAAATTTTGGGGAACACATTTCAACCATGGCAGGGAGTATATATACTGTAGAAATATCCTCGCAAAGCTCAGACGGCCACGTTGACATCCATGTTGATTTCCTCCATTTACCAGCTGTGACCTTGTACAAGTTACTTAAACTTTTAGTTCCTCAGTCACTTCATCTGTAAAACAGGGATAATTGTAGTTTATAATAAAGAGTTATTGAGGAATACATGAATTAGAATAGTGCTTGGCATTTTAAAATGCTTAAGAAATGTTAACTTTTATTATTTTATTTTTTTAAGAGAGTTTTGCTATAGGGCGCATGCACTGACCAGTGAGACAGAGAAACAGAAAATGAGAAGTCACTACCCAGGGGGGATGACCATTGTGCAGTCCCTTCTCTTCCATCCTCCTCTTGGAATTTTGGGCACACACGCACACATGCCCAATGTGAGTTTTAAGTCGCTGGGTCTGGGACTCAAATCGTAGTTGACTATGTGAAAGTCCATTGACATAATCATTACACCATTTGCTGGTCCCAACTTTTATTATTTTTATAATTCATAGAAACATAAATATTATGAGTGAATAGGAGAACCCTCAAATTTCTTTGTTTTTTTTTTGCTATAAGGGCACTTGCATTTGCCAGAAAGACAGAGAGACAGAGAGACAGGGAGAGAGAAATCATCCAGGGAGGGTGGCCACAATTCCTTCTCCTCCATTGTCCTCTTGAGATTTTGGGCACACATGCACATATGCCTGGCATGAGTTTCAAGCCACCAGGTCCAGGAGTCAAACTGCAGTTGGCTATGTGGGAGTCCAGAGCCTTAACCACCACACCGCTTGCTGGTCTCCCAGATTCCTTTTTGTGTTTACTTTTGGAGAAGGAGAAGGGAATGGGGCTAGACTTAATGGTTAGAAGGAACATCACTTTTGGGGTCAACAGGTGGCATGGTGGTTCAGGCACTGGACTCCTACATGGCGGACTGAGGTATGACTGTGTGCCCAAAATCCCTATAGGAGAATGGAGAAGATGGGATTGCCCTGTGGTATCCCCCCAGGGGATGATTTCTCACTTTCCCTCTCTGTCTCTCCTATGGCAAAAACCTTTCAGAAAAATTACACACACACACACACACACACACACACACACACATTTAGATTAAAAAACCAATTATTTATTTATTTAATTCAATTTGTTGATATTATTTCTTTAATTTGATCAGAGAGAGACAGAGAGATAGAGAAAGGGGAAGTGAGAAAGCAAGCCATCAGGTCTAGGACGTGAACTGTAGTCGACCATATGGGAGTCCAACCCCTTAACCACAACCCCCCCTGCTGGCCCTTATTTTTAGCTTTTTTTTTTTTTTTAGTAGGCTGCATACACTCACCAGAGAATAAGAACCTAAAATAAATTTAATAAATAAATAAAATTGATGTTCTTTTTACTTTTAGGTTTATGCCATAGGAGAGACAATGAGAGAGACAGAGAGTGGGAAAGTGAGAAATCACCCCCTCCAGAAGAGATGGCTATGCCTCAATCTCCTGTTTTCCATTTTCTTCCTGCGATTTTGGGCATGCATGCACACCACAGTCAGCCAGGTAGGAGTCCAGTGCCTTAACTACCATGCCACCTGCTGGCCCCATCAGTTTTAGTCTGAATGTTTTCATTTCTTTTATTAAAATGTGTAAAGTGTATATGACAAAATCTGTACAGCATTTGTATTTTTTAATACCTTTTGTTTTTTAGATTACTAAGGAAACACAAAATACACAAAATAATATATACATTCCTATATACATATATATTCGACTTTGGTACATGATTTCACTCAACTCCTTATACATATGTAATGTAAGTAAGACAGAAATGAGCTGGCGGTCTGCCCACTACATGCACCTGGGAAGCGATGACCTCGGGGGAAGTGCAGAGTGAGGAGGTGGAGCACAGGAGGATGGTAGCCTATTCTGTACCGTCCTAGTTATAAAAACAAGAAAGAGCGAATTCACGTATCACTTACTTGTTTTTGGAGAATACAAATATTACAAAAGATTTGAAACAAAGCAAAAATTTTAGAAGCAGCTATTATATATGATAGAAATAATTTATTATTTATTTCTTTATACTTTCCTATATAATCATATTTTAAAATGAAAATAAACAAAGCTTGTTTTGTTAGAGTTCAGTGATTAATAGGAAACTCATCCTAACTCCTCCTTTCCTTTACCTACTTTTCTCCCAGAATGATGATTCAGTAAAACAAGCTTACATTTAGAGACGCCGGCCACTAAGTATGGCTGGGCCTCCAAGTCTTGTCCAAGTAGGCCTAAGTGTTAGATGTCAGTCAAGGTCTCTGAGCTGGTCAGGGGACATAGCTAATGGCCCCCACCCACCTGCCTGACTTAGGTGCCTTGTGGGTCTTTGAGCCCCTAAAACTGGAGGTGAGGGATGGCCCTACACTGTATATTCACTGAGAGGAAGAAACACAAAGATGGTGAATTCTCAGCTAATGGTTAGTTTCTTTATTATTTATTGCAAAACAATGTATATCTTTTTTTTTCTTTTTCACCTTGGTCAAACAAATTCCCTGTGCCTCATCATGTTTTCCATCTTGAGGCTTTGCTACTTCTTTGTTTTTCATGATACTGATTTGTCCAATACAGGTGTGTTTATTCTGTAGTCAACGTTCTCCGATTACTTCCTGGCATCTGATATGCAGCTAACATGTTTTATGGCTGAGTGGCTGATAAGAGGGGGTGCGGGACACAGGCGACACAAGCTGTGAGGTGCATCTGGAGGATGCTTTCTAATGTCATCCTGTCCTGTCTAACCCTGGAATTTGGAGATGAGGAGAGAAACTGAAAGGGAGTAATGTACATGCTAGTAGACACCCACACTTACCCATTGGTTTCTAAGCTGTGCCACTTTACCCCCCAGGCCGAGGTCTCCCGGCAGGACAAGCGGAGGTGGAGATGATAGAACGAGCCCGGGAGAAGCGTGCTTGGGAGGCCACCCTTCCCAAGCTGAGTGACACCTCCCAGTTTGAGAAGAGGAGGAAGATGATGAATATGATGGAGAGGATGGAGTGGGCCTTCAGAGAGCAGGAGATTGAAAAGTAGGTTCTCTGTCACCCTGGCAACTGTTCTGTGCTGATGAGAATAGTGGTCATACTTTTATTGTAAAGTGTGTTCCCAAATGCAGCCCTTAGCCTGTAGAGATAGGGAATGGGGGCTCTGGTTCTTTCAAGAGTGATTACACACTTCTGACGGGGTATAGGAGCTGTCTGTCATTTTCTTTCCAGTCACATCAAAATGTGTAACACCCATTTTGTATGTGAAGAAAGTCAGCCTGGAACCCCAGTTTGAACAGCTCTTCAAAGACATCTCTGATTCTTCTCTTTTCTCTTTAGTATCTATCTAGGCTGTCACAGAATCCCACTGATTTCTGCTGAGCATTTTCCGAACCATCCCTTTCCGGCCCTGCTGTGTGGTGCAAGCAGAAGCTGCTGGGGCACAGAGGCTGAGGCCACATGGAAGGGTGGGGTTCAGTTTCCAGCCCAACCTAAACAGGCTGCATGTGGGGGTGCAGGCCTGCAGGCCTCACCACCTGGGAGGCTGGGGCAGGAGGACTGCAACTCGGCAAGACCCTGTCAAAACTGCCCCTCCCTCTCCTTTTCAGGCTCACTCTCTCTCTCAGAAAACAAACAAGACAAAACACCCAAATCTTGTCCTTTCCTGTATACTCTTAGGCCTTGGACCTTTTCACATTCACCAAGCAGCTTCCTGGCTGGTCCTGTCTCTTACTGCCCTGGCATGGAGTCACGCTCAGGGTGCCTTGGGTTCCAGCTAAAGCTAATGGGTCATCTCGTGTTTGAAAGACAAATTGCTCAAGTCTTCCATTAAGAAATAAGTTTAGGAACCAGCAGATGGCATAAGGGTTACTTTTCTGGACTCCCACATAGTGGACTGCAGTTCGAGTCCTGGACCTGGCTTAAACTCACACTGTGTGTGTTTGCATGCGTGCCCAAAATCCCGAGAGGAGAATGGAGAAGATGGGATTGCAGTGTGGCCATCCTCCTGGGGAGTTATTTCTTACTTTCTGTCTCTCTCTGTCTCTCCAGCAAGCACACACACCCTATAGCAAAAATCTTTCTCTCTTAAAAAACAAACAAACAAGCAAAATAAATGATTTCATATAACAATATGCATAAATGACAATATGCGGAGGTACTTTCAGTTGAGTTTTTAGTCATTTTCACTGATATCTTTTCAGTAATGTGGTTGTTGCTGATATGTAGAAATGATGAGAAATATCAAGAATCAACAAATTAAAATTCCCTAGCAAGCAAGAAAGGAGGGGTACTCACTGAGGTGGTTCTTTTGTTCTAGGCTATGCTGAGGCACTTTATAGGGTACCAAGGCCAGTTAGGGACTCCACTTGGTACTGAGTTCAAAATACAAGTAAGTTCATTTTTTTGCAGCACCTTCTGCTTAAGCCTGAACCAAGACTATATGATATTTTTGTAAATCTTGCAATTTAAAAGAGTATCTGGGGCAAAATAGGTGTGAGGATACCAAATACTGTCTAAAGAAATTTAAATTCATTGCTGTATTTTGGAGAGGTATATGCCTCGTCTGAAGGCATCACCTGAGAAGGTGAGTATGTGTGTTACGCTGAGGACAACTTTAATAAATGTAGTTTGAGTCCCTCCCGCATGCAGGTCTGTGCTGAGTGGAGGAAACAAGGATGTGTCCTGATGGACATCCTGACGGTCCATGGGGCAAGAGCGGGGAGCTGGGCTGGGCTGGGGCAAAGCACCTTCAGACCCACACCTCTCGGGGACAGTCTGTCAGGTGACATGCTGCTTCCTGGGCACGGAGTGCTAGGGGACCCAGGTAAGAGAACAGTCGGTGCTGTTGTCACCCACAGAGGTGGGTGGTCAGAGCACAACAGAGAGGAAGCAGCCTCTGAGCCGGGCACTGAGGATGAGGAAGAGCCATCAGGAGACCGTAACATCAGCGATGATGCCAACGATGCTGATCAAGTGCTAAACCTTACCGCGTGCTGACTCAGCACTAGGCAGCGCTCTCGTCAGTGTGGCTCCAGACCTGCAGCATCGCCCTACCGGGGAACTTGCCAGGAATGCAGATTCTCAGGCCCCACCGAGACTGGGTCCATCAGGCAGTAGGGCCCAGCAATCTGTGCCTTGCTGAGTCCTCCAGATTGTTCCGATGCACCTTAAGTTTGAGAAGTACTGTTCTAGCACTTTATATACATTAACCATTAACCCATTGAATGCTCACAACAACCTTATGAATGTCTACTGTCATTATCTCTATCTTACAATAGAAGAAATTGAGGTCAGTGGTGAAGTTGAAAACTGAACCTAATTTTTCTAACTTTCGAGAAGGGTAAATGTTGGTATGTGCCTTATTTTTAAGGTCCAGCTGCCTCGGCCAGCAGGTGGGATGGCGGTTAAGGCAGCTGGACCCCACAAGGCAGACACCGCAGTTTGAGTTCCAGACTCAGCAGCTTGAAAACCTGTGCTAGATGCATGTGCGTGTGTGCCCCAAACCCCAAGAGGATAATGGAGGAGAAGGGATTGTGGTGTGGCCATCCACCCTGTGGGGGGATTTCTCCCCTTCCCTTTCTGTCTCCCTCCAGTGAGTACATGCACCCTATAGTAAAACAAACAAACAAACCTCCTGCCTCTCCACCCTCATTTGTCACTGCTCACTCCTCCTCCCATGCGAGCTGTTTGGTCTGTCGCCAGTCCTTCTGACAGCTCAGCTCATGCTGCGGAGGAGGCCTCGCTTCTCCCTTGTCAATGTGGCGGATCCCAAACCTTGTTTATCATCCAGACTGCTCAGTTAACAATTGCTCTGAGAAGCTCCCCAAGTCCCTGAGCTCCCCGCTCCTTCTCCAGAAGACTTGCCGTTCCTGCCTGCTGTTCATCCCCCTGTGCCATAAATGCTGGTGTCTGTGCCTGTGCTACCGGAGCAGGGCTTTTTCTAAGAAAGTGTTTTTATCTTGTACGTCATCCTTTGCTTCCTGCCTGGCACATGATGGGCACTTAATAAATACTCGGCAAGTGGGTGAGTGACTAAAATAATGTATGGATGTTTAAGTAGGAGGAAAACATATGTTCAGATCTCTGTTTTAGGAAGGAAAACCTTGACAGCTGTGTGGAGCATAAGTTGGAAGGAGGAAAGACTAGCTCCAGGAGTCCAGGTTAGGCAAGAAGACACAAACATGAGCGAGGGAGCAGATGTGAGAAGTCTGCAGAGGAGGAATCGTTGGCAGAGGAAGAAGATGGAAGGGTGGGTGTGGAGTTCTGGGAGAGCAAAATCAGTAAGGTTCTTGTTTGTTTGCTTTTTTACCATAGAGCTTGTGTGCTCACCAGAGAGAGAGAGGAAAAGTGAGAAACCACCCCCCAGGGGGGATGGCCATACCACAATCCCATCTCCTCCTTTCTCCCCTTGGGATCTTGGGCACACGCACACATGCACCCGGTGTGAGTTTAAGCCACCGTGTCTGGGACTCAAACCATAGTTGACTACATGGAAGTCCAGCCACGTAGCCATTATGCCATCTGCTGGTCCCGAGATTCATTATTTTTATTTATTTGTTTTTGAGAGAGATTTTTGCTATAGGGTGCATGTGCTTGCCAGAGAGACAAAGAGAGAGTGAGAAAAACAGAAAGGGAGAGATCACCCCCTGGGGGATGGCCACTCTGTAATCCCTTCTTTATTCTCCTCTTTGGATCTTGGGCATGCACTCACACATGCCCAGCCTGAGTTTCAAACCACCAGGTCCAGGACTCAAACTGTGATTGACTACATGGGAGTCCAGCGATGTAACCATTATGCCATCTGCTGATCTCAAGAGATTCATTAGTGAGTTGCCTCCCCACACCCCCAATTTTCTCACCACACTTTTGCCAGAATGCTCTTTTTAAAATATACAAGTATGGCTTTTTTGCAACGGGGTGTTTTTGCAACGGGGTGTTTTTTTCATGAAAAGCATCACTGAATCAAAGCCAAATGGGAAAGGAGAAGACTCACATCAACATTGCTGTCATTGGCCGGCAAGTGCACCACTACTGGCCATCTGACCTACAAATGTGGTGGGATCAACAAAAGAGCCATCGAAAAATTTGAGAAGGATGCTACTGAGATAGGAAAGGGCTCCTTTAAGTATGCCTGGGTTGTAGATAGACTGACAGCTGAACGTGAGCGTGGTCTCACCATTGGTATCTCCCTGTGGAAATCCGAGACCAGCAAGTAGTATGTGACTGTCATCGATGTCCCAGGACGCAGAGACTTTATCAAAAACACGATTACAGACACATCTCAGGCCGACTGTGCTGTGCTGATGGTTGCTGCTGGTGTCGGTGAATTTGAAGCTGGTATCTCCAAGAATGGGCAGACCTGTGAGCATGCCCTCTGGCTTAGACACTGGGTGTGAAACAACTAATTGTTGGTGTTAACAAAATGGATTCTATTGAGCCACCCTACAGTCAGAAGAGATACGAGGGTATTATGGAAGTCAGCACGTATGTTAAGAAAATTAGCTCTAATCCCAACACAGTAGCGTTTGTACCCATTTCTGGTTGGAATGGTGACAACGTGCTGGAGCCAAGTGCTAATATGTCATGGTTCAAGGGATGGAAAGTCACCCATGAAGATGGCAATGCCATGGGACCAGCAGTTAGCGTAATGGCTATGTTGCTGGACTCCCATGTAGTCGACTGCAATTCGTGTCCCGGACCTGGTGGCTTAAAACTCACTTTGGGCACATGTGTGTGTGTGCCCATGATCCCGAGAGGAGAACGGAGGAGAAGGGAGTGTGGTGTGGCCATCCCCCCGGGGGGGTGATTTCTCACTTTCTCTCTCTCTCTGTCTGTCTGGCGAGCGCACATTCCCTATAGCAAAAAAAAACCCCAAAAAAAAAAAAAAAAAAAAAAAAGATGGCAATGCCAGTGGGACTACACTGCTTGAAGCTCGGGATTGCATCCTGCCACCAACTCGTCCAATTGACAAGCCCTTGCATCTGCCCCTCCAGGGTGTGTACAAAATTGGTGGTATTAGCACTGTCCCTGTCGGCTGAGTGGAGACTG